TTTCCCTAGCCCTCCCCTGGAAGCAAAGACCCAGCTTAAACTTTTGGTGTGCTGCGTAGCAAAGGCAAGTGGGGAGCAAGCACTTATTTCCTTGAGCAGGGGCTGCTGCAGTTGTGGTGGCATGGGTTGCTGCCACTTCAGCACAAGCTCCACAGCAGCACAAACACAGGCTGCTGTGGTGGAGGCAGCACAAGTTCCCCTGGGGCTGTTATTCTGCTGCCCTGCTCACCCACCCACCCTAAGTGAGGCCTCTCCCCGCAAACTATGGAGTACTTTCACAGCTGCTACACAGCCATTGCTACAGCAGCCACAGGAGTATAAAATCAGGAGCTGCAGTTTTTGTGCTTCCCACATCATGTAGGGCCTCGGCCAGTGTATCTGGATGGGGTTGTTTTGGGTGGTATCCTGCATAACCTTTGAATGCACTGGTCAAATCAATGATACACTCTTCAAATTTCTTCTGCTTTGTCAAGGAGGGAACACACTATAGGTTTGTAATCTTCCCAACACTTGTCCTTCTTTGGGGAAATTCCACTGTGTGTAGAGACTGCCTCAGATGTGGGAACGGAAAAAGAAGGGTTTCACTTCAAGTTACTAATGGCTCCTGTATGAAAGTGGGAGCTTTGCTTCTTATGTTGGCCAGCTACTGCCACTCATGGTTCCACTAAAGTTATAGGGCCAGATTCAGTAATAGCTGCTGTAGGCCATTCCAAAGTCAGGCAATTTTTTTTTGATGTGCTGCTAAATTAGATGTTATTGTCAGAAACGTATTTCTCCCCAGTGGTTAATCACAATGTACAGAACATATGAGGAATCTATAGACAGATACAATCAATAAAAAGATTACCATGACTTACCCTGGCTCGGACGATCGCTACTGTCACAGACCTCCTTGACAATCGTCCTCTCTATGCGTTCCAGACGGGCAAAATTTTCCACCAAAAACACCCTTTGTACATTACCAGCAATTTGAAGCAGTTCGGTTGCTCTTAGAATTCCAATGCCGACTGCAAAGACGTATATTCCATCATTCCTAAGAGCCAATGCTGCTTCACTCACTGGATCGCTAGAATATCCATCAGTAATCACAATGAGGGTCTGTGGAATATTTTGGTTTTTACGGCCACCGTTGGCAGGCTCAAAAAGCCTCTTGACAAACCTCAGTCCTTTGCCAGTGAAGGTGGATGATTTAAACTGGCGAATGCTATCAATCTGTTCTTTTATGGCAGTCTCTGAGTAAAATTCATTGAGATAAAATTCTTTCTGAGGATCTTCACTATATTGGACAACTCCAACCCGTGCTTTGTTCTCAGCAATGTGAAAACGGCTTACTATTTCCTTCATGAAGGACTTCATGGTAGAAAAGTTTTTGGAAGATATGCTTTCTGACCCGTCAATCAAGAACACAACGTCTGCTGCTTGATTTTCACAAACTGGGGGGAAATGTACTTAGTTATATATTCATATACACTCTAGGTTTCATCCACTTAAATCTTTTTAAAACCTGCTGTCTTTGGCTGAAATTTACTTCCAGGCAGAGGCACCAACTCAAGGTTAATTCATTACATTGGTCCCACTTAGGCTAGGGACAGAAGTTGCACATAAACCGGTTTAAGTGATCAGAAACTGGTTGAAACCTGTAACAGAACAGATGTTCAGTGCATATAAACTGCTTTCAAAATGGCTGAAACAAGTTTAAGATAAACCTGGATGGATGTAGTATCAGACTGAACTGAATTATGTCAAACCGGTTTATGGAACACCTGTCCCATACCCTCTCCTGATTCAAGTTAAGTCACAGTCCCCCAGCATCCCAGGATGCTTTGCAACTCTGGGCTGTGCTGTCTGCTCCAGTGCAGCAGGGCTGGCCCTGCCCTCCTGCTTTCACAGAGCTGAGGCAATAAAGCCTCTACTCCCTACCCTCTGCCTGTGCCTGTCAGCCCTGAGGGTTGAGAGGCAGGGGAACAGACCCCAGGCTCTCCTAGCCTGGGTATGCACAGCACAAGGGGAGGGAAAGCATCTTCTGTAGGGCTTATCACCCTCCCCTCCCCCTCCATAGACTCTCAAGGTGGGCTGGAATTGCCCTATCCCCACCCACTGCCAGCTGCCCTTGCATCTGAGGGGCTGGGGTGGGGCAGGAAACATCTTCTCCCCCTCCCCCCAAGCTGGCATCTGCAAGGCACTGAGAGGAGACAGCTTCCACCCCTGGGCTTCTCAATCCCTGGCAGCCTAGAGAGCCAGCTGGGATCCCTTAGCCCAACCTCCCTGCTTTTCCAAAGCTGATGCAGTAAAGCCTCTGCCTGTACCTGGCAGCCCAGCATGGAACCAAGCCCTGCGGAGCCATATTGAGAAGTGGGAGGGGGGAATCCCCTCTCTGCAGCAGGGTCAGGGTTCAAGGGATCTCCTCTGAGGCTGCGGGATCCAGCCACCTTCAGGCTGGAGGGACCATTCCCTGCTCCCACCTGTGGGCATGGGGCCAAGCCCTGAAGGACCATATTGATGGGTGGGAGGGGGGGGAAGCCCCTCTCTGCACTAGGGGCAGGACTTGGGGGATCCCCACTGAGATATCCAGGCTGGAGGTATTGTTCCCCCTTAGGGAAGCATAGCAAGGGGTTGGGAGGCATGTGCTGGGCCCTATGGGCTGCATTCAGGTGCCTTTGGCAGTGGCCAGTAGGCCCCCCAGCTACTGGTAGAAGACACTGCAGGGGTCTGGCTGCCTATCCAGTTTCAAAAGTGGACATCAATTCACTTTATTATCAGTTCAATGTATGCAGTTTAGAGAAACCTGCAAAGACTGAATAAATTCAGCCTGGGGCTTTTTGACTGTCTGTACTTAGCCCTAAAACACAGAAATAAATATCACCCATGCAGAACAATAGAAACATCTGGGAGAATACACTTTCTGGATCCATTAAACACAATATCGGTGACTTACCGGTAGATGAAATGAGGTAGCTATGCAGAGCTTGCATCCAAAGTCAGCCTCTCAGCTGAAGAAAGCTAATTATCACCAAACCACAAGTAAAGGTCAGACAATCAATGGGTGGAATTGCTTAAACTACCATCTCCATCACACACTGAAGGGTAATAGTCAGAGAAATCACTTGCAGTGGAAGAGACATATGCTGAACTGCCTGACTGGACTAGCAGGCTGGGAGCTGGAATGTCTGTTAGTCTACTGGTAGTTTGGACAATCTCTTGCCTGCACTTTTTTACTTCAGAAGCTAACTCAGATGCCTGGCATTTATCACTGGTACCTTCTATTTGGTGGGCTTGGTAATTCAAAATGGAAATTTACAGGTGACCTAAAAATACTTGTATGCTCCAATGAACTTGATAGTGTGGCATGACAGCAACAAGGCTAGGCTCCAGACCCTTGCAAGAGCAGTAGTAACATGGATAAATATTTACTGTAAATTGTTCTTTATGTAAGTTCTGATAAATAATAATGTTGCTTCCCTACCACAAACCTCATCAAGATACTACAGATGCAGCTAACTTACCCTAAGTCAGCTCAGTGGTTCTTCAAACAAATTCTACTGGCCTCACCAATAACTGTGAGACGATTAATACTGAAGATTAATACTGAACTGAGGAATAGGACCCCTGCTAAATGGGCAGAAACAATTGGTGACGGACAGAGGGGACAAGGCTGAACTCCTCAATGAGTTCTTTGCCTCAGTGTTCCTAAGCGAGGGGCACGACAAGTCTCTCACTGGGGTTGTAGAGAGGCAGCAGCAAGGCGCCAGACTTCCATGCGTAGACCCTGAGATGGTGTAGAGTCACTTGGAAGAACTGGATGCCTTTAAGTCGGCAGGCCCGGATGAGCTCCATCCGAGGGTGCTGAAGGCACTGGCCGACATCATTGCAGAGCCACTGGCGGGAATATTTGAAAGCTCGTGGCACACGGGCCAAGTCCCGGAGGACTGGAAAAGGGCCAATGTGGTCCCCATTTTCAAAAAGGGGAGGAAGGAGGACCTGGGCAATTATAGGCCAGTCAGTCTCACCTCCATCCTAGGCAAAGTCTTTGAAAAAATTATCAAGGCTCACATTTGTGAGAGCCCGGCAGGACAAATTATGCTAAGGGGAAACCAGCACGGGTTCGTGGCAGGCAGATCGTGCCTGACCAATCTAGTCTCTTTTTATGACCAGGTTACGAAACGCCTGGACACAGGAGGAGGGATGGATGTCATATACTTAGACTTCAGGAAGGCCTTCGATACGGTATCCCACCCCATACTGGTGAACAAGTTAAGAGGCTGTGACTTGGATGACTACACAGTCCGGTGGGTGGCGAATTGGCTAGAGGGTCGCACCCAGAGAGTCATGGTGGATGGGTCGGTTTCGACCTGGAAGGGTGTGGGCAGCTACAGCCTAGGGAATGACCTGCTGGGTGGCACAGAAGTGGAAAGGGATCTTGGAGTCCTAGTGGACTCCAAGATGAACATGAGTCGGCAGTGTGACGAAGCCATCAGAAAAGCCAATGGCACTTTATCTATGAAGCTATGAACTCCACCTCTGCTGCTTGCTGCTCCTGGGAGAAGTGGCAGCCATTTTAGCATAGTATCTCATAGATTCATAGATGTTAGGGGCGGAAGGGGCCTCAATAGATCATCGAGTCCGACCCCCTGCATAGTCAGGAAAGTGCTGGGTCTAGATGACCCCAGCTAGATGCCTATCTAACCTCCTCTTGAAGACCCCCAGGGATGTGTGCCCCCTTAACTAACTAACTTACTGACCCTAGGCGGAGGAGGAAGCAGCAGCAGAGGAAACAGCAGCGGGGGCAGCAACAGCTGATCCCCAGAAGGTAAGAAGGGCGGAGGGACCCGGCACAGCTGAGCCGGATCCAGAGGGGAAG